ATTCAGTGAAGTGTGCAGCTCTTAATTTTAAGGTCATGAGTTCATGCCCATGTTGGGTGTGGAGACTGCTAAAAAATAAAATCATTAAAACGAACAAACCAACCAACATCTAAAGGCACAGGAAACAAAAGCAGACACAATGAAGGGGAGCTACACTTGGAAAAAAGAAAGGGCCTGAGTCTGTATTCATGGCCAGCCCCTATCTTAGAGCACGTGGGTAAGATCTGTGCCCAACCTTCTTGAGTAGCCAGTGGACAGATCTGCGGGCACCCACAGTCAGAAAGTGAAAGAAGCGAGTGTGGAAAGGAGAAATCCACATAAGAGGAGCCCTCAATCACACGCCCACGTGCCCAAAGCTTACATCTGAACCACCCAGGCAAAGAGCACGCTCCACGTGGCCTGGCTGACGGGAAAAGGACAGAGAAGGCTTCTGTGGTGGCCTGACAGGATGCAGCATGGGTGCGCCAGAACATGACACATCACAACATCCAGGGGAGTACTCAAAAGTACTAATCGTACTAACAGGAAAACGTCACCCATACTGAAGAGGAAAGAGACACCAAGACCAAGCTCAAGAGGATTCGCTGTTGAAATGGCAGACAAAAATTCTGAAGACAGCTCTCGTAACTATGAAGGGTACCAAATATACATGTAATAAATAAAAAGACAGGAAACCTCAGCAGAAAAATAAGAATATTTTTTAAAAGGCAAACAAAAATTTCACAACCTAAAAACAGAACAGCTGACATATACAAGTTGCTGGGTAGTCAAAATATCGAGGGTGACAGAAGTCACATGAGCCTGAGGACAGATCTGAAGAAGGTGGAGACTCTGCAGAAAAAAGAGAGTCACAGGAACCCACAGGACGGCAGAAAAGCCCACACGCTGGAGTGCGGAAGGAGAGTCACAGGAGCCCACAGGACGGCAGGAAAGCCCACACGCTGGAGTGCGGAAGAAGAGGGCACCACAGAGCAGAAACATGTTTGAGGACACTGCCTAACATGTCCCAAATTTAGTAAAGAACAAAAACTTTACAAATTCAAGATGCTGAAGCACAATAAATACAAAGAAAAATCACACCAAGGCACATGAAAACCAAACTGCTAGAAAACAAAGAAAAAGCTTTAAAGTGCTAAAAGGATAAAAAATGTCAACCCCAGAAATCAATATATCCAGCAGAAATACTCTTCAAAAATGAAGGAAAACAGGGGCACCTGGCTGGCTGAGTCCACGGAGTGCTCAACATTCAATGTCAGGGTCACGAGTGTAAGCTCCACGTTCGGGGCAGAGTTTACTTAAAAAAATAGAAGAGCTGGGGCACCTGGGTGGCTCAGTCGTTGAGCGTCTGCCTCCGGCTCAGGTCATGGTCCCAGGGTCCTGGGATCGAGCCCCGCATCGGGCTCCCTGCTTCTCCCTCTCCCACTCCCCCCGCTTGTGTTCCCTCTCTCACTATGTATCTCTCTGTCAAATAAATAAAATCTTAAAAAACAAAAAACAAAACAAAAAAATAAAAAAAAACAGAATAGGGGTGCCTGGGTGGCTCAGTCGGTTGTGTCTGCCTTCGGCTCAGGTCATGATCTCAGGGTCCTGGGATCGAGCCCCACATTGGGCTCCCTGCTCCGCGGGGAGCCTGCTTCTCCCTCTCCCGTCTGTGCTCTCTCTCTCTCACAAATAAATAAATAAAATCCTTAAAAAATAAAAATAAAATAAAAACTTAAGAAAACAAAACAAAACACCTCTTTGGGGCACCTGGGTGGCTTAGTCGGTTGAGCATCCAGACTTTTGGTTTCCTGCTCAGATCACGATCTCAGGGTTGCGAGACTGAGCCCTGCTCAGGCTCTGCGCTGGGCGTGGAGTTGGCTTAAGACTCTCTCTCTCTCTCCTTCTCCCTCTGCCCCTCCCCCGCCCCCTGCTCTCTCCCCTCCACCCCCTCCAAAAAGAATGAAAGAAAAGTGGCATTTTCAGAAAAATGAAAATGGAGCAGTCACTCTAGCAGACCTCCACTAACTATAAGAAACTAATGCAAACTCATCAAGCTGAAGAGAATGCAGAAGAAAACTCTCATCCTCAGAAAGGAAGGAGCAGCACTAGAGATGGTAAATATTGGAGTAGAAGTAAAAGACAATTCAAGTTTCTTCAAAAGGCCAAGAAGGGGGAAGCAGAACAATGTATGATGGGGGCATACAGATCAATAGCCATGAAAACATGATAAAGAAGGAGGAAGGGCAGAGGGCACCTGGGCGGCTCAGTCAGCTGAGGTCTGACTCTTGATATCGGCCCAGGTCAGGACTTCACGGTCATGAGACTGAGTCCCCGCCCCCTGCCAGGCTCCAAGCTGGGTGTGGAGTCCGCTTAAGATTCTTGCTCTCCCTCTGCCCCTCCCTGTTTGTGCACTCTCTCTCTCTCTCAAAAAAAAAAAAGAACGATAAAGGGCAGAAAAAATGGGCCTTTCCGGCTACAAGGCTCTTGTATTTTATATGAATTGATACAATATTAACTCTCAGTGGGCCATGAAAAGTTATGAATGTACACTGTAATCCCTAGATAAACCACTAAAAATTAATGCACAGTGGAAACCAAATGGGCCAACAGATAAACTCAGCTAGTACTCTAAGAGATGAGGTCAGTATCGAACCCAGAGGGCAGGAAAGCAGAGCAAGTCCTGGCACGGCAGAGCCAAAGCCGACTGTACATGCAATAGCAGCGGGCCCGTGTACCACTACAAAGGCAGAACCTTTAGAACGGATAAAAGGCACAACCCAACGATACTCTGTCTATGAGGGACCCTACTTATAAATACGCAGTCAAGCTGAAAGAAAATGGATGGAAAAAACATGCGGAAACAACAGAAATCGGGAGTGACTCTACTGACATCAGATAAAGCCGACTTACGACGAATATTCTGAGAGAAAAAGGGACATTTCATCATGATTATATACTTCTACTAACAGAGCTCAAAACATAGGAAGCAAAAATTGCCAGAATTAAAGGGAGAAAGTGATAAATCCATCATCAGGGCCCTTAACATCCACCCCCAGCAGTTCACAGAGGTAAAGATACGAGTGACTTGAACAGGATCAAAAGTCTGGCTCGAACCAACACACTGACAACATGGCCCAGCAACTGCAAAACAGATTCGGTTTCCAAGTGTATGTGGCCTGCTCATCCTGACACTCTCTGCTCCATTAAAAACAAGTCCCAATAAACTGAAAAGAACTGAATGCCACAGAGTATGTTCTCTGAACATAATGGAATTTAATTATAAATTAGTAATAAGTTGTGTAAGGAAACTTCAGGTACTTGAAAACTAAACATCATATATCTAAGCAACATATGAATCAAAGAAGTAATCAAAAGGGTATTAAAAATACTTCAAGCTGAATGATAACACTGTTAAAGCCCTGTTTAGAGGGAAATTTATAGCTTTAAGTGCTTCTATTTGAAAAAGAAAGGTCTAAAAGAAAAAGAAAGGTCTCGTTTCCACCTTAAGAAGCTAGAAAATTGCGAAAGAAGCAACCCTAAAGCAAGCAGAGAGCAGGAGGTAACACAGGACAGAAATGGATGAAATGCAGGGAGCACATCTTTAAAGGACAAGCAATACGACTGAACTCTGGTGGCTGCCAGAGGGGAGGTTGGAGGGGAACGGGGGAAACAGATACAGGGGATTAAGTACACTTACTGTGATGAGCACTGAACAGTGTACACAAGTGTTAAATAATTACACTGTACACCTGAAACTAACAGAATACTGTATGCTATTTATACTTTAACAAAAACAGACAAAAAGTCACACAAATTAAAAAAAAAAGGACCACAGACATACTCTTATCTTGCTACAGTTAATTTAACAGAAGGCTTGGGGCACCTGGGTGGCTCAGTCATTAAGCGTCTGCCTTCGGCTCAGGTCATGATCCCAGGGTCCTGGGATCGAGCCCCCGCATCGGGCTCCCCGCTCTATGGGAAGCCTGCTTCTCCCTCTCCCACTCCTCCCTGTTTGTGCTCTCTCTCTCACTGTGTCTCTGTCAAATAAATAAATACAATCTTTAAATAAATAAATAACAAAAGGCTTAACTAGAGTCAAAAGCAGTATTATTTACTCCTTCACTTATGATCATTTCTTTGGTTGCATGTGCTGTAGGTGAGCCTCGTGGGGTGTAACTGCGAGAACTGAGCAGACAGCCACCTAAGTAAAATATTAGGACAAGACTTCCTTTTTCAGAAACACTATGGTTGGGGCGCCTGGGTGGCTCAGTCATTAAGCATCTGCCTTCGGCTCATGTCATGATCCCAGGGTCCTGGGATCGAGCCCCGCATTGGGCTCCCTGCTCCGCGGGAAGCCTGGTTCTCCCTCTCCCACTCCCTGTTTGTGTTCCTGTTCTTGCTGTGTCTCTCTCTGTCAAATAAATAAATAAAATCTTAAAAAAAAGCAACACTATGCTTTTTGTTATGAATAACAAGTGTCACAGGTAAACTAAACTTGGCAAAATAATATACCACCTAATCCTTAAAATTGGCTGTGTTCAAAAGAACAACCTAGAGGACTCTATTCTGTTCCCTTTTCAACAAGAGTGCTAGTGGGTATGAAGTGTATTAAGGGGGCCAGGCTGGATCTGTACGTGTACATATGTGTGTATGCATACATGCGTGTGTAGATGAGGAAACCTTGGTGGAAAGGCACTCAAGATACAGGACGGCTTAAAAAAAGGTTAAGAGATTGAACTACGTTACTATAAAACAAAAAAGGGTGGCTGCCAGCTATGAAGGCAGTGACCTAAGTCCCTGAGATCCCTGAAAACAGGATGCTATGGTGACCTTAATCCAAAGGTTTCTTACCAGTGAAGACATATCAAAGCCTGTCTTTGCTTTCATTTTCAGAATGTTTCTGGCCATTATTACAACCAACTCATTAAATAATTATTGAGAAGAGGTGCATGTCCAAAGCATATAACGCATGGCAGACAAATATCTCCCGCTCTAAAGTTACTGGTGAGAACATGTACCTGTATGTCCGGCCAGTTCACGGCTCACACGTACATTCCCTTCACGAGTTTTCAGATTGTAAATGGAGCAAATATTATCCAGGCCACCGCAGGCCACATAGTTCCCAGAAGGGGCATACGCACAGGTCATGACCCATGAGGAACGCAGAGGGATGGCATGGACCTAAATGACAGAACACAGATGATGCAGACACACTCAAGTTCAAAAACATTAATTAAGGACACTATGATTCTATTTCCAGTCTTCAACCTTCATTGCAGAGAAGGTGACACGACAAAATAACGGCCAGAATTATTTTGAAAATAATTTATACATGTGGCCAGTCAGATAAAGTACTAATTTAATAAGAAATCCATGGGGCACCTGGGTGGCTCAGTTGATTAGTGATCTGACTCCTGATCTCAGCTTAAAAAAAAAAAAAAAAATCCAGTGCTGCACACCAATTTAATCTGCAATCTTGTTAAGGTCACAATTTATGGTTAGGTATGCACCTAAGTAATAGTTTTAGAGCCTTCTAATCCAGATTATACATTAAAAAGAAAACAGTTCACAAACCTGTCAAAATGGCTATAAACTGATTTACGAAACAAAATATTTTTAGTGAAGTAACAAAACGACATTGTAATTAATCCTGCCACAGTCCTCCCCATGTTTGGGATAGATTTGTTATAAATACCGCAATCTCAGGACTCTCCAATAAAAATGACTGAGTCTGATCTTTTCCTACATATGGACCAAGTGACAGTAAGTACTTCCTCATTCACTACAACCTTGGATTAAGTATTTAAAAGAATTTAATTTATACTTCAAAGTACAGTGCCTTTCAGATTATCTCTTATAAAAACGAATAACTAAACGAAAAGCTGGATTTCTACATTTTTAAATAAAACATGAACTTTCTCAGGCTGAACTAACTCTGGAATCCAGGTCCTTCAGAACCATTACGGAGGGACTTAGCTCCCACCTGCCATGCAATGAGACCATGACCCACAGCAGAAGACACTAGTAGCATGTGCTAGCCACGTGGTTCGGCTTCACACTGAAAACAAAACTCACTGTGATTCCCCTCCCTGTCCTGTGTGGTATGTTTCTACACAACGGGACTAGAGGTCAGAAGCCCGCCCCCTCCGGGGCTGGTTTCCCAGGGAGGGGACTCTGCAGTCCTTACCTTGTTTGTTGTGTAGCTGTCCCAGATGATCAGTTTGCCATCCTGGGAGGCACTGACTAGAAGCCTGCAGGGAGAGGACAAAAGACAACTGATCAGTACCACAGCAACAGTACAAACTAAATCTGAGTGACTACGAACTCACACTTCAGTGTCACACATTTGTTTGAGACAAAGCACACTGATTTATAGAAAAAATTAAAAAGGTCTAATTGTGGGCACCTGGGTGGCTCAGTCGTTAAACGTCTGCCTTCGGCTCAGGTCATGGTCCCAGGGTCCTGGGATCGAGCCCTGCATCGGGCTCCCTGCTCCGCGGGAAGCCTGCTTCTCCCTCTCCCACTCCCCGTTTGTGTTCCCTCTCTTGCTGTCTCTCACTGTCAAATAAATAAATAAAATCTCAAAAATAAATAAATAAAAATAAAAAGGTCTAACTGTTAGCTCAACTTTGAAAGCATGACAGAAAATGCTCCCATAAATAATAGTTCAGATCCAAGAGTGCTTGCCTTCAAATGCAGACTAGATCACCAAAGCCACTCTCTGGTGAGCTAATGGGTTGATTTTTTTTTTTTTTTTTTTACATTTTTTTAAAGATTTTTATTTAGTTATTTGACAGAGAGTGAGCGAGCGCACAAGCAGGGGGAGCAGCAGAGGGAGCAGGAGAAGCAGGCTCCCCGCTCCATGGGGATCGATCCCAGGACCAGGATCATGACCTGAGCCAAAGGCAGACACTTAACAGACTGAGCCACCCAGGCTCCCCAACAGGTTGATTTCTTATAACTGCTTACGTTTGGTTTTTGTTCATTATAAATCAAATTTCAGACATATAGATTTTTTAGAACCAAAGGTGGCAGAAAATATTTAGTATACAACTTTATGTTCCATTTAACATACAGAAAGCTTCAATAGTAAAGAATAATCAGCTCTTAGATATTCCAAATTTATGAGACCTTTCTCCCCCCAAAAACGAAACAAAACAAAAATCATGAAAATTTCCCAGACTGAGCTAAATGTGGAATCCAGGTCTCCTAGAAACATTAAGGAGGTGCTTAACCTCCCACCTGCTTTGCAAAGAGATGACAAACCGCACCAGAATCGTGTCTTGTCCAGCAGAAGAGACTAGTAACTGTTATGAATTTTCTTCATGATTCTTGCTTTGGATAACTGCTAAGTTTGGGATCCTGTGTTGAGAAGGTGCTCTGTCTATATTTGCAGAATTAAGACAGGATACTGCAGAAGGAAAGCATGACTAATGGGCAAAGGGACAGAGTAATTCTGGGAACCACAGCTACTTATAAGATACCCTAAGAACTCTGTCCTACAGAATGTGCTATTTTCAAGCAATGGCAAGGAGGCTCTATTCATAAGGCTACGCAGAGATACGACACAGTATGGTAAATAATGATACATTTTTTTCTTTCCTTTTTTTTTTAGGCAGAGCATTCCAGCAATGCCCCCAGGGGTGAGTTCAGATGCTGCACAAGAGCCCAGGGTTTTCCATCTCCCCCAAGGACATGTGTGCAGGGCCAGGCTTTGGATGGCCCTCCTACTGTAGGAGAGGACAGTGGCAGGGTCAGACCTGGGGGAGACTCCGAACTCCCCGTGGGCCCAACTGCCCCAATGGAGGGAGACAGGTGACCTCCAAGGGTCTTTAAATCTCTGCACCAGAACACTCTAGGTACCTGGAAACAGGGCAGTTGGTGAGGTGGGGACAGGGCTGCATGGCCACTGCCCCAACAGATTTTTAATTTTAAAGATTTTAATCAAGGGGCACCTGGGTGGCTCAGTTGTTGGGAATCTGCCTTTGGCTCAGGTCATGATCCTAGGGTCCTGGGATCGAGTCCTATATCGGGCTCCCTGCTCAGCGGGAAGCCTGCTTCTTCCTCTCCCACTCCCCCCTGCTTGAACCTCTCTTGCTGTGTCTCTCTTGGTCGAATAAATAAATAAAATCTTAAAAAAAAAAGATTTTAATCAAACACAGGTTTTGACCATTTCAGCCAAGAGCATATTTGACTTACTAACTGATCAAAACCTGGAGGTAAAACTTACTCAAGACATTCTGACAACTGTGATATTTTCCATCAAATTCTATGTTCTGATGCACAAACTTCCTTTACAGGGAGTCAACAATGAGTTTGGCAAAAAGAACACAAATGTTGTCGGGTGCCTGGGTGGCTCAGTTGGTTGAGCGACTGCCTTCAGCTCAGGTCATGATCCTGGAGTCCCTGGATCGAGTCCCTCATCGGGCTCCCTGCTCAGCAGGGAGTCTGCTTCTCTCTCTGACCTTCTTCCCTCTCATGCTCTCTCTCTACCATTCTCTCTCTATCAATAAATAAAAATCTTAGAAAAAAAAAGAACTTTGAAAACCTCATAAAAAAAAAGAACACAAATGTTGTCAATGATGCACTGTAAAACTTATCACAGAACCAAACTAAGTGCAGGTCTAACCTATCATTTTTCAGATGCAGTTTCTTAAAGCAAAGTCTTGCACCCAGGTTCAGTCACAAACCTATTAGGCACTTAAAGCTATTTCCTTCCAGGAAACAGAGTAAGGTTCAGTCTGCTGCTCAATTTCTGGTTGGCCCTTTACACAGGCTTTGAATGGACTATCCAAGCCAACGTAAAGAAGCTCATCTTCCCGGAGGGTCACCTTTAGAAAAGTCTCCTGGTCAGAGAGCTTAATATTTGCTGACTCGCCCAGGGGTTAGAGAAATGTTAAGCTGTCTGATGATCCTCGAGAAGGTGAACGGGGACACTTCTTAATCCAAGACAGGACAACTGTTGGAGAAGTGAATTAATTTGGCCCTAGAGCTTTCAGCTATTCACAAGTCAGTTACTGTGAGGCACCATCCACCCAGAACACACAGGCAAGAGCCAGCAAGGAAGTGAGGGCTCCAGGAAGCTGAGAATAGAGGTTGAATAGAGGCCCACATCCAAATGCCTCTGGCCCCTCCATTTACTTGGAGGAGGGAGGGCTCTCAGACTTAGCTGGGCCAATTGTGTTTTGCTCTCAATCATAACAAAACTTCAGCAGACTTTAGAAAGGGGAGAAAAAGTTTCACATTAACTCATGTAACTGAAAGAGACTCTCAAATGTTGTAAAAAGTAGAATTTAAGTATAAATGAATATATTATGTCGATAAACATAAACGTATACACACGCATACTGCACAAACCTCTTATTGTGGGGCTCTCCTACGGTTTTGAAAAATAAACTGCTAGTCAGTACAATAGTTTGAGAGCATCTGTAAATTATACAAACATGATAAGATAACTGGTATTCATGAATTACAGCCTTGAATCATGAAAAACAAATATTTTGGACTTTAAAAAGACAAAAATTTACCTATCCAGAAAATATGGCTATCTAGAAAAAAATAATATCTGAAAGGCTCTGAATAGCAGAGATCCTCCTTAATATCATTTTTTGTTTTCTTTTGTTTGTGATTATAAAATAAGGCCCCCATATAAGGGCACTGTGAAATGTAACTGTGCAGTTTCTTTTTTTTTAAAGATTTTATTTATTTGACAGAGAGAGATAGCGAGAGCAGGAACACAAGCAGGGGGAGTGGGAGAGGGAGAAGCAGGCTTCCCGCGGAGCAGGAAGCCCGATGTGGGACTCGATCCCAGGACCCTGGGATCATGACCTGAGCCGAAGGCAGACGCTTAAAGACTGAGCCACCTAGGCGCCCGTAACTGTGCAGTTTCAAAAGCAGTTATAAAACAAGTGCCCATTTGCCCACCTTCCCGTCCAAGAAACAGAACAAGACCACAACACCCCCACCAGCCTCCCATGTGACCAAGACCCTGAATTTGGTGCTACTTATTCATGCCCTTGCTTTTCTTCCTTCTGACTCTGAGGCTTTCAAAGCGCAATGTGTGTTTGAACCAGATGGAACGTAAAGCCTTGCACATAGTGATTGGGAAGCTAGATGATCTGGTGTCCTCCTGCTGAGCCCAGTCCTCATTTCCACAGCTGCCTGCAGGTTGACCTGGTATTCCCAGTGACCCTTAGGCACAAGGGACGTGTCACCTATGCAAATCCCCAAACTAGAACCCGGCTGTTGCAGGAGAGCAAATTGCTTAGGGAGTCAAGACAACGACTGGGCTCCAAGTAACAGATTCCTGAGTACCAGGCTCTGAGCACTTAGCTCCAAGTACTAGACCAAGAACCAGGTTCCGAGTACCAGGCTCCAAGTGCTGGATTCCTGAGTACCAGGCTCTGAGTACAACCTAGCTGCAGTGTCTATCAAGTGTCCTGTCTGGTAAGGACAATGATGTTCCTACAGATGGAGGAAAAGCCCTGGAGGCAATATACCATTTGGTTACCGTCTACTTTTGATAACAAATTCCAAGGTGGACTGATCAGCAAGGGCATTTTTCTTTCTTTCCCCTTTCTTAGTCTTTCTGATTATTGCCATCATTAAAATGATCAAAGTTAGCTCTCATTTGCATTTGAAATTGTACTGAACAGCATATAGAACAAACTAAAGATAGATTCTTTTGTTCTGTAGCTGTTTACACTCTAAAGTAGACAATTTCATGAACAAAGAGAAACCAAGCAATTCCTCTCTGACACGCACACAAAATAATGCTACTCAAAGAAAGGCATTCTGAGAATCACACATCAGGTATTTGAAAGAGCATGTTATAACCACTAAGTCCCACAGCATGTTACTTCATTATTCGGGTGGAAAAGGTAGAAGAGACAGATTCTCCAGCAGCCTCTAAAAGAAAGAGAGAGTTGAACAGACTGCACTCTGGTGATGTTGCAGGTTAAGGGAAGGAGGTGTGGAGAGGGGAAAGGAAGGAAGGACCCATGATGTGATGGAGATGAGCCACCCAGAGGGGAAAGAAGACCAAATAAGGGGCAGAAGTTAAAGTAAAAGCAAGGAGCGCCTGAAGGGCATTTTCTTGTTGGGACGGCAGATAAAAGGAAGGCGGGGCAGCAGCTAAGACATGCACTCCCTCACGTCCGCTGTGGGCGCCAAGAAAACCAGCAGCAGACCTATGCACAGCACTCAGGATGCTTTAGTCCCTGCTGTAAGCCTCAACACACTTCATCTTCCCCACACCACAAGGAAGGTTTATGATCCCTGAGCCAGGACACTAAAACCACAAGAAGGTAGGGGCCAAGGAGTCATGAGAACAGGCTGGAAAGGCAAGGAGTCAAGGCACAGAGAAGCTGTATAACCCCCCCAAGGTCACACAGGCATGGCTGGTATAAACATGATGAGGGTGGTGAAGCCAGTGGGCCATCAGCCCCGGTGAGGGACGCATGCACAGGGAGTGTGCCCTTGTGGTGCTACACCTGGCCTGCCCAGGTTCTGCCAACGTCCTCACTGTCTTTACAAACAACAGCAAATGAATTCAGGTTATTTTTCCTCAGAAAAACAGAACAATCCTTGAGTGTCTCAAGCACTATGTTTTGCTCATGCTCCCACACACCTGGAATCCGTGCCCCAATGCATGGCATAAATTTTGGCCAAGTGCCCCCTCAGCGTTCTCCTGGTGCGCATCTGGATTCTTCCCACTGGGTCGATGTTGTTTGTGATCTTAAAAATAAAAGTTACTGCAAATTAACAGTCTGTCATGGAATGACTTCCCCTGAGGCCTCCTCTCCCACCCTCCTTGGCAGCCCCACGGCCCCTGCTCTGGCTGTGCCCACCCGGTTCCTGCAGCTCTCCACTGTGACTTCTCCTGCTCACCACAGCACCTACCTTCCTTTCATGGTCTGTATGAAGTCTGTCACTCTACTTGCTGTTCAAGACCTCTGTTCCCCCAACCCCTCTCCCCATAATGAGCAACAGCACCAGTCCACAGGTGCGCTGACCTCCCCGGGTCTCCCTCCCTCCTCTCTCTAACTGCTCATCCAGGCCTAGCTCCTCCTGCCCCTCAGTCCTTGTAGGCTTGCTCTCCTTCCAAGTTACAGTCCCATCAGCCCCCATCACACTGAACACAGGCCCGCTGCTCACACATTGTCCACAGCGACCAGGCTGGGCACTGATCTGGACAACAGTCAGTAGTGACTAGAAATGCTGTTGCTTATCGCACAGAACTGGATGTGCAGACCTGCGGATATACTCCAACATGTAAAAAATGGACATTAACGACTCTGCGTTGACAACTGGACTAAGTGTATCACAATGTTTTTTTTTTTTAAGATTTTATTTTTAAGTAATCTCTACTTAATCCCCAACATGGGCCTCAAACTTACAACCCCAAGATCAAAAGTTGCATGCTCTGCCTACTGAGCTGGCCAGGCACCCCAATAATGGGTTTGAAAAAATGTACAGTCCAAAGTATACGAAGTATATCTGAGAATTCAAATTTAGGACTTCTATGCAATGTAAGTTTCTCTTTAACTTACTGTTTAACCCCAACTAAACTACATCCCCTAAAGCACTGGGACAATGTAAAACATTTAGTCATCCTTAGTAGAAGTATGAATATAATTTTTCTTTCACATTTCTGTTTAATTCTATGGACAGAAACTTTTTTCTTAATGAGGTGAAACTCACCATTTTAGAGTGAACGATTTGGTGGTGGTTAGCACTTGCCCACCTGTGTGCAACCACCACACCACCTCCATCTGTTCCAACAGCTTTCACCCCCAGGAGGAAACCCCATAGTCACCCCCCACTCTCCTTCCTAAGTCCTGGCAACCACTCCTAAACTTCTGTCTCCTTGGAGCTGCCAGTTCTGGCCATTTTCTATCAGTGGAATCCTACACTATGTGACCTTGTATGTCCGCTTCTTTCCCTGGGCATCATGTTTGAGGCTCACCCATGCTGCTAAACATGTCGTAATGCATCCTTTGTTACAGGTGATTAACATTCCGCCGTGTGGATGGACCACACCTTGTTATTCACCCACCCCTTCACAGAAACTGTGCTCATCTCCACTGTTTGGAAACTGAACAGTGCCGCCACCGAGAACACACGTGTACGTGGGCTTATCTGAGCACCAGTTCTGGGTGTGCATCTAGGAGAAGAACTGATGGTTCATAATTTATGTGCAACTTTTTGAGGATCTGCCCAACTGGACTTTAGAAAGGCTTGTGAGACATCTATCACCCAAAAAAACATGACTTCCTGTGCATTCTGAATGAAAATGCTTCAAGCAGTGTTTACACCCTCACTGTGCAAAAGGAGAGAACCAGAGCACAGCTCACTCTCAAGGCACCGAGTGCAGGCGCCCCTGAGAACCTGCCCAATGCCAGGCAAGCGCCTCTGCGTAGAGGGGTCCTTACCTGAGAGAGCGTTGCATCTGCACATGCTTTTCTAGCATCCTAGGAAATAAGAATGACAAAGCAGGAAGTTAGTAACGTTTCACACACATTCAGTCCCAGGTCTTCACACCAAAGTCTCGGAGCGCCTCTACAAACGGTTAGAAGCCAAGGCAGAAAGGAGGGGGATGGCGTCCCCTCCCCACTCCCCTGGCTCAAACGCAGTCTAGGGCCACCAGAGGTCCTGCACTCTGTGCTTCAGGTTCTAATGAACAGAGCACCAGTGGCACCCCATGCATGTGATAACCAGCACAATACCCCTGTGACCTCAGAAATGGAGCCTGTGCTGGGAGGACCACACTGGAAGCCGGGTGGTACTGGAGAAACCCAGATTTGGGTGCTGGTTCCTCTCCTGCCTGCCGAGGCTCCTGTACTTTGCCACAGACGTGCACGTGCGCCTCGCTCTGTCTTTCTAACAGCCCAGTAGCCATGGGGCCCAGAGAAAGAAGTTCAAAAAGCACTAGATGTCCAGCCCAAAGAACTTTCCCTCCAGATCATGTTAACTAAGGACTTTGTTTTCAAGCCAAATAACAACCGATGCTAAACTCTATGAGCAAAGGATCTGGACTCAAGACAATCAAATTCAGGTAAGACTCTGGCTGTTGTATCTATTATGTTTTCTTATCTATAAAATGACCTTGTGAAACAGGTAAGAACTATAAAGGGATATTCTAAGGCTAAGACGTTTTCATTGTTCCTAAGTGATCAAACTTACTAGGAGATACAGAAAACAGAAAGCCATATATTATGAAGGAAAATGAGACAACAGCTTGACAGGGGTAAAAATCTGAGTACAAAAGTAATATGGGACACCATTCTCTAGGGGCAAACTGCCTCACTGGGAATTATTTTTATTGCATGAAGCTGGAGGGAATATTTATCAACTGAGAACATGGAAAAATACTCAAAGACATTATTGTCATAAATGTGCCAAAGATCTAGATTTCAAATTCAGCTTTAATTATACTCCTAGAAGTCATTCTGCTTGGGGCGCCTGGGTGGCTCAGTCCTTGGGCGTCTGCCTTCAGCTCGGGTCATGATGGGATGGAGCCCCACATAAGGCTCCCTGCTCCGCGGGAAGCCTGTTTCTCCCTCTCCCACTCCCCCCGCTTATGTCCCTCTCTTGCTGTGTTCTGTCAAAAAAAAAGTCATTCTGCTTAATTAATTCTACTTAATGGATTAAATAATTAAAACACCAAAAATTACGTCATCAAGTATTTCTATGCCAGCACCTAAATTTGCCATAAGGAGCAAGCAGAGGGAAGGTCCAGAGTAGCAAGTCTTTCAACAGGGGATTCTACCTGTCAACTACTGAGTTTAACGTTTATTTCTGAATATCACTCTTAATGATGTTATACACGGCTTTTAGTTTTAAAAAAGAACAATGACGGGACGCCTAGGTGGCTCAGGTAGTTGAGCATCTGCCTTCGGCTCAGGTCATGATACCAGGGTCCTGGGATCAAATCCCGCATCGGGCTCCCTGCTCGGCGGGGATCCTGCTTCTCTCTCTGCCTGCCACTCCCCCTGCTTGTGCGCTCCCCCTCTCTCTCTGACAAAAGAAATAAATAAAAATCTTTATCTTTAAAAAAAATGAGTATATTTTAAGTGGAAAAATAAGCCATGGGAGTTAAGCAACTTCACTTTGATTAGTGTACGAAGATCAACCTGGATTTTCACACTGTATCATACAATAGACTGTGGTGATACTACTGATAAACGGAGGGAAAAGCCATTTTAAAAAAAACTAAACACAGAGAACTCCAATTCAGTCTTCATTCTAACCTACAAGTGCTTATGTCACTGAGTGCAGCACTTCTCAGAACAAGCAGAAAGAAGTCTTCTAATAGAAGCAATCTCTGTAACTGTTTCATAAAGACAGAAATCTCTATCTTTCAGATTAATTTCCAATTGAATGGACTGGTGAAAATGTGCATAGTGGGTATATTATTTAGTGCAAAGGCTTCCATGCTGCTATGATGAGAAATGCCACTGAAGACAACAGGCCAACTCTTTTGTCCCTTTAAACCAGAGTACATCCAAACCAGTGATCACTCAGTTCCCCACACAGCGAGGTTTCTTCCTACTTGGGCCCCAGGGAAAGCACCTGCTCTGCTCAGTCGCTGGACAGCAACACTTGGCTGAGTCTTCTCACTTGCATGGGTTGGTACAGTTGCTTTGTAAATAATTTGCACCTGTACGTTCCAAGTTTTTCCTTAATCCATCAATTAGCTCATGTACTTTTAAGACATGCCATTCTGGTTTTCTTTCTCTTTTGAAAACAAGCTGAGAAGTATATATATTTTTATTTTTTTTATTATGTTATGGTAATCATCATACATTAGATCATTAGTTTTTGATGTAGTGTTCCATGATTCATTGTTTGTGTATAACACCCAGTGCTCCATGCACGACGTGCCCTCTTTAATACCCATCACCAGGCTAACCCATCCCCCCACCCCCTCCCCTCTAGAACACTTAGTTTGTTTCTCAGAGTCCACAGTCTTTCATGGTTCCTCTAAGACATGCCATTGTTTGATCAGCATCCCTTTGAGAGCCCGTGTTTCCTCACAATCTAAAGTGGTCTGGGGCGCCTGGGTGGATCAGTCATTAAGCATCTGCCTTCAGCTCAGGTCATGATCTCAGGGTCCTGGGATCGAGTCCCACATCGGGCTCCCCGCTCGGTGGGGAGTTGGCTTCTCCCTCTCCCTCTGCCCCTGCTTGTGTTCCCTCTCTCACTGTGTCTCTCTCTGTCAAATAAATAAATAAAATCTTAAAAAAATAAATAAATAAAAATAAAGTGGGATGAGGGCTGCCCGGGTGCCTCAGTCAGTTAAGTGACAGACTCTTGATCTCAGCTGAAGTCTTGATCTCAGGGTTGTGAGTTCAAGCCCTGCACTGGGCTCCAAGCTGGGCATAGAGCCTACAGGCATGCATGCATGCATAATGGGATGAGATGGTCCTTGGGGCCTTTCAGCTTAAAAACAAATCTAAGAAAGCAAGGCCTCTTAGAATCACCTACCACTGTTTGATTCCCTATGCCCTGCATTCTTTAACTAGTATGTATTCCTTGGGTAGTCAGAAAGAAAAGGGTATTTTTTCTTTTTGAAAGAAAGTCTTCCCTTCCTGTTTGGTGTAATGGGACTTTGCCGTCCATCCCTGTGCTGTACAAAGAAACCAGCACAGACTTAGCTCCTGAGACCAGCGTGGAAGCTTTGAGCACATGAAGCGCAGCCAAGACAAACTGAGGCCTGTCATTCAATGTAGGACACACTGAATTCTTGAGACTTAGTATAGAAAAGGAATGTGAAATAATAAAAATACCTATTTTTAAAATTTTTATTTTTAAAAGATTTTATTTTTGAGACATCTAGGTGGCTCAGTCGGTTAAGCGTCTGCCTTTGGCTCAGGTCATGATCTTAGGGTCCTCGGATCAAGTTCTGAGTCGGGCTCCCTGCTCAGTGGGGAGTCTGCTTCTCCCTCTGCCTGTCCCCACAGCTTGTGCACACGCACGCCTCTCTCTTAAACAAAATCTTTAAAAAAAAGTTGGTAAAATAAAAATAAAAAAGAAAAGATTTATTATTTTTTTAGTTTTTTTTTTTTTTTTTTTTTTTTTTTTTTTTAGAGAGAGAGAGCACGAGAGCGTGCATGGGCGGTGGGGAGGCAGAGGGAGAGGCAAGAGCAAACTCCCAACTGAGCAGGGAGCCCAACCAATGTGGGGCTTGATCTCAGGACCATGACCTGAGCCGAAGGCAGATGCTTAACAGACTGAGCCACCCAGGAGCCCCAAAAGATTTTATTTTTAACTAATCTCTACACCCAGTGTGGGGCTTGAACCTACAACCCTGAGATCAAGAGTTGTATGCTCCACGTTCTGCATGGAGCACTGGGTGTTATGAACCAACAATGAATCATGGAACACTGCATCAAAAACTAATGATGTAATATATGGTGATTAACATAACAATAAAAAATTAAAAAAAAAAAGAGTTGTATGCTCTACTGAGCCAGCCAGGTGCCCCAAATATCTATTTTTTTAAAGTATCTATTCTTTAAAAAAGACTTTATTTATTTGAGAGAGAGAGAGAGAGAGAGAGAGAGCGAGAGCACGAGAGCTCGAGCAGGGGGGAAGGGCAGAGAGAGAGGGAGAAGCAGACTCCCCGATGAGTAGGGAGCCTGACTCAGGGCTGGATTCCAGGACCCAGAGATCATGACCTGAGCTGAAGGGAGATGCTTAACTGGGCCAGCCAGGCACCCCTAAAAGTATCTATTAATTTTATGTTGAAATGATAATATTTTAGATACAGTAGTTTAGACAAAGTCTGTTAAAAATTGATTTCAGGGGCACCTGGGTGGCTCAGTTATTAAGCATCTGCCTTCGGCTCAGGTCATGATCCCAGGGGCCTGGGATCGAGCCCCACATCAGGCTCCCTGCTTGGCAGGAAGCCTGCTTCTCCCTCTCCCACTCCCCCTGCTTGTGTTCCCTCTCTCGCTGTCTCGCTCTCTGGCAAATAAATAAATAAAATCTAAAAAAAAAAATTGCATGTTTCTTTTCACACTTTTATTTTTTTAAGATTTTTTTTTTTAAAGATTTTATTTATTTATTTGCCAGAGAGAGAGAGGGAGAGTACAAGCAGGGGGAGTGGCAGGATGTGGGACGCGATCCCAGGGCCCTGCGATCATGACCTGAGCTGAAGGCAGATGCTTCTTAACCATCTGAGCCACCCAGGCGCCCGTAAGATTTTATTTTTAAGTAATCTCTAAACCCAACATGGGGCTCAAACTCACAACCTCGAGACCAAATTTGTCAAATAAATAAATGAAATCTTTTTTTTTTAAAGATTTATTTGTCAGAGAGAGAGCACAAGCAAGGGGGAGCGGCAGGCAGTGGGAGAAGCGGGCTCCCCGCTGACCAAGGAACCTGATGGGGGACTCGATCCCAGGACCCTGGGATCATGACCTGAGCTGAAGGCAGACACTTAATCATCTGAGATACCCAGGCGCCCCATATATCTGATCTTTTAAATGTTAGGATTTGAAATTTGAAAGATACTTTGTTTCCTCTTGGCTGTAGATCTTTAAAAATTCCATTATCTTTTCTCAAGCTTAAGAAAAGTTGGAGGGGCGCCTGGGTGGCTCAGTCCTTAAGTGTCTACCTTCGGCTCAGGTCATGATCCCAGGACAAGGGTCAGAGGGAGAAGGAGGCCCCCCGCCGAGTAGGGAGCCCGATGCAGGAATCGATCCCGGGACTCCAGGATCCTGACCGGAGCCAAAGGCAGTCGCCCAACGACTGAGCCACCCAGGCGCTCTTGTCCCAGCTTCTAATCATGGTGTGAGAACAGGAACAAAAACTTGTACTTACCGTTTCTCTAGAAAATGTTCCTTACAAGTCCTGTCTCACAAAATGGGAGGAGAGTGGAATTCCCGTCTCCAGACCCCTCCTAGTCCCACGTTCTCAGAAGCGCATGGGCTCTGCGGTGGGACAGGCTGTACAGCCGTGGGACTCTGGGAGCTACTCGTGTACAGGGTGTGGCTGAAGGACACACGGTTGTGCTCGTCTCCAGCTAGATGTGCCTGCTCTCCTGACAGCCGATCAAAACTGCAGATGCCAGTATCCGTCCCAGGACCGTTCTCCAGGGCACCTTGGGCACCCCTGAGACACTTTCCACTGTTGTTACTAACTCTTGTTTTAAACAAGTTTCCTTGCCCTCAACAGTCACAAGGGAGGGAAGCAGACACCACACTCTACACAGTGACCAAGAGAATGTCATGAACGGGGGGAAAAAAATGTCTTGAATGAATTCCCAAGGTTAAGAAAAACATACAGAGAGACACTTATAAATTCTATGAAAACATTTTTTGTACATTCAAATAATGATATACTGTAAAACAAAACCCTGAAAACCACGTGCTAGGCCAAATACCTGGCTCTAATTACCATATCCTGGGTCAGCAAAAATTTAGTTTCAATCCAAAACAGAGTAGTCATTCTGAAACCCACCTTTCCCAAAACAGATAAGAGCTTACCTGAAATCCAAATGATTTATAAACTAAACTAAGCACACATGTAGCTACATACCCTAATTTGGTTTTTAAGCTGCTCGGCCTCCTGCCGTAACTGGTCAAGTTCACTCATCTTCGGGTCCTAGTGCTCTTCAATGCTACCTCAAGGAATCTCAGATCTGAAACGGAAATATAAGCATAAAAAAATCAATAAACAATGGTTGAGTAATTTAATGAAGCAGGTGAGAAAAGGAAATTAGAATTTTGAGAGCTATGATTTTGTTACAGGTCAGAGCACTTTCTTTCAGCGTTCACCAAAACTTTTAAAGTGCTTACCAAGGGCTGGATTAATAAAATATAATTACTACTATCCACTAGCTTTTACAATGACACTGTCTAATAGACCACTCAAAAGATGGTGGTGAATTGAAAAAGGAAAAATCTGTTCAGGAGCATTCTTCATGAAGGGTCTGAATCTCACTCTAAACCCAAGAACGTAAGACTGACATTAGAAGAGGTCTCACACAGAAACCGAGGGGGAGTCTGTTCGGGAAAAGGGCAGAGTGGCAACCTGACAACCCAGAACCTCAACACCACATCCATGAACTTGAACCCATGACCACCCCCCGCCCCCGATGAGGTCAGAATGTTTACACAGAAATTCTGAAAGCACTCAGTGTGGTACCCAGCAGGCCCCTGGTTCACAGACATCGCACTCTCTCACCAAAATGGGCCTGGGGTCCCAGGAAACAGAAGCAGTAACTCCACCCTTACCGGCACCTCAGTACAAGCAGCCCTGCCACCCACTCTTAACGGTGCTCCACCCCAGTCTTGTTAGGTATTCCTTACATCAGACTCAAACAAAATCACCCTGTTGAACGAGAGACTGATTTTCCCAAGGGAATGTAATTGGGGTTGCATTTCTTTTTTTTTTTTTTTTTTTAAGATTTTATTTATTTATTCATGAGAGACAGAGAGAGAGAGAGAAGCAGAGGGAGAAGCAGGCTCCCCGCTGAGCAGGGAGCCCGATGCGGGACTCGATCCCAGGACCCTGGGATCATGACCTGAGCCGAAGGCAGACGCTTAACCATCTGAGCCACCCAGGCGCCCCTGGGGTTGCATTTCTGACCAAGAACATGACTGTTAAATCAGTCATAATTATGACCAACGTATCACAAAGCTGAAGACATAATTACCAACATCTCTTAATCGCTTAAGCCTACAATGAGCTCCCACATGCAAATATGGCTTATCAAAGGGCCTCAACATCCTATGCAAACACACACTGGAGATTTTATGCAAAAATGACAGTTAATATTATATACATCAGATACTTAATTAACAATAGTTATTTTCTTGAGATTGAAACATATCTGGGGGAAACTGGAGGACAGAGGAAGCATATTTGTTAGAGTTCCCAGTCTAGATAAACTTCCCTATTCTGCACAAATTAAAGTAAATTCACATGGTTTACATTACAGAAACTTGATGTATACTTACTGATGAAAACAAAAATATCTTTCCCAATAAAGAATATCTTTAAAGAGTGTGTGTGAGTTCTTGGTTTTTGCTTTCAGCTGTGCTGTCTATTCACAGCTACAAAACCAGGCCAGGCAGGAGGCAGAGGGGAGAAGGGGGTGCACGCTGGACCTCCAGAAAGCAATCTACAGTTGCTAGGACTGACCTTCAATGAAAGTCTGCAGAACCACCAGGAAAGGCCTTACAGGGACGGGACGGGATGTGAAGGCGCCTCTGGGAAGGCAATACTGTGGTGACACAGTTTCAGAAATATTTCAGACCAAAATAGTTGTTTCTAAAGGCATTACTTTAAGTGGATGCTGGAAGCACGTAGAAAGCTTCAAAGAATACTTCAAGCCTCCCTGGTCAAAAGGAGTTTGCTGAAGCTCAGTGTAGAAGAGGCTACACTTGCAGACACTTTACCCCTGTGACACGACTGGCTAATGCTCTCTCCAGTCTTCATGTACAAATTCTTCAGAACTGCAATTCATGAATATTAACGTATGCAACAGGAACAGTGCCAAGAGAATATGAGCTAATTTTTACAACAGAAAGCTGTGATGATGTGTCCTCCGAGTTTGTGGACTGCTTTGTGTTCTTTCTGCCACCAGGACATCCTACCACCACTCACATGCATTTATATGTGATATTATACCTCATACACAATTATGCAGTTAGGGGTAGTCTTATTCCAGCAACACCATCCAACCCATGTTAGAGAATTGTTCTTAGTCTGTAAAGAAGCCGTATTATTCAATCCTTCTAAAATCAATGTTGCAGGAAAGTAACAGTTAATGGTTGTCATGGGGTGAACTGAATTGTTAGTTTTATAAATAAATAAAATCTTAAAAAAAATGGGGGGGGCGCCTGGGTGGCTCAGTCAGTTAAGCATCCCACTGTTGCTATCACAGGTCATGATCTTGGGGTCTTGAGATTAAGCCCCATGTTGGGCTCTGTGCTCAGTGGGGTGTCGGAGATTCTCCCTCCCTCTGCCTCTGTCCTGCCCCCCACTTGCACGCATGCTCTCCCTCTCTAAAATAAATCAATAAAATCTTAAATGGTTGGGACGCTTGGGTGGCTCAGTCAGTTAAATGTCTGCCTTTGGCTCGGGTCATGACCCCGGGGTCCTGGGATCAAGTCCCGCAAGTCCCGCATCTGGGTCCTTGCTCAGCGGGGAGCCTGCTTCTCCCACTGCCTGCAACTTCCCCTGCTTGTGCTCTTTCTCCCTGACAAATAAATAAAATCTTAAAAAAAAAAAAAACTTAAAATTGTTAGTTTTAGTCAACAAACATTAACTTCTGCTTATAATTTAAACACTAAAAGGTTAAGGTAACTTTTTTTAAAAAAGATTTTATTTATGGGGCGCCTGGGTGGCTCAGTCATTAAGCATCTGCCTTCGGCTCAGGTCATGATCCCAGGGTCCTGGGATCGAGCCCCGCATCGGGCTCCCTGCTCGGCGGAAAGCCTGCTTCTCCCTCCCCGACTCCCCCTGCTTGTGTTCCCTCTCTCGCTGTGTCTCTCTGTCAAATAAATAAAATCTTAAAAAAAAAAAAAAAGATTTTATTTATTTATTTTCAGAGAGCGAGCGAGCGCACGGGGGAGGAGGGGGGAGGCAGGAGGAGAGGGAGACGCAGACTCCCGGCCGAGCAGGGAGCCTGATGCGGGGCTCCATCCCAGCACCCTGAGATCATGACCTGAGCTGAAGGCAGACATTTAACTGACTGAGCCACCCAGGTGCCCCCCAAAGTGTCTTTAAAATGAGAAGATCCATTTAATTCACTTACCCCACAAAATTTCAAAAGCAGTATCAATACTTGCTGACTTGAATCTTTAGTCACAAGCAAAGAAAACAAAACCAGATCTATTTCTTTTTCATCAGTAAATAGCATAAATTATTAATGCTGCTTTTATTTTTTATTTTTTCTTAAAGATTTTATTTATTTGAGAGAGAGAGAGAGAGAGAGAGCACGAGTAGGCAGAACGACAGAGGGAGAGAGAGAGAAGCAGGCTCCCTGCTGAGAAGGGAGCCCAACGCCGGGCTCCATCCCAGGACCCTGGGATCATGACCTGAGCTGAAGGCTCAGCCACCCAGGCGCCCCAATGCCACTTTTAATTACATATCCCTCTATAGTCAGTGTCCGCATCTGAGTCTCAACAGAGAGACTCAAAATCCACATTTGTTCATTTTTAAGAAAAGAGGTATTCCTGTGGTTACTAGCAATAATAATCAATGTCCTGTAAGACCTATTTAATTTATATCTATAAAGATAAGTTTATTTAATCTTTATTTAGCTGTAAAGAGTAACCCACGGTTAAGCATTTAATTTTTTTAAATTACATTCTCTATTCTCCATGTCAAAGGTGTATTTTCTGAAATCAAATCTGGAAAAGAAGTTTTTTTTTAATAGATGGACAGATTTAATGATGAAGGGGCATTCAGGGTCTCTAGCACACTGGCCTTACTGTCCCTGAGTGGGCACTGTCCAGGACCACCTTGATGAGATATGGGTGTACACCCTTTGCTCAAAGCTAATGGGACACGGATTTGGAGCCATAGCCTGAGCGTGGAGGGTTCGGATAAGACCACTGTCACAGAAAACCAGGTAGTCAATAGTCACCCAAAGAGAAACTGGCAGACAGCAAGGAGCATGCACACTCAAATAGAGTGGAACTAAGAGGAAGCAAAAAACTTTCTAATTCCCATAAATTAAAAGTTCACCCCAAATGCTCTTCTATGAGGATACAGTAAATGAAATAAACAAGGTACAGAATAGTGTATGAACGATGATGTGTTTCTCTTTGTGTACATAAAAAGGAAAAACATCTATGTTAACCTAAGCAATGTTTTTTTCTGTGCATGTGAGAAAATGTTAATAGTGGTTGTTTTCAGAGAATGACACAGGAATAGTGGGGCAGCTTTTATTTTTCACACTATCTTTAATACATGTACATATTTTTTCTTTTTAAAAAAATATTAACAGGTTATCTGGGCCCTGAAACCAAGGAGCATTCACATTGTTTTGTCCATACTTTTTGGTTTTAAAAACAAAATGTTAACTTTCAATTGGAAGAACTATTACATATCGCTAAGAACAATAATGAAGATGGAATAAACACTTGGAAAAATGCCTGATGTATATTAAATCAAAAACAAAGTTGTGTAATAATTTTAGCTATTTTTTTAAAAAGATTTTATTTATTTATTAGAGAGAGAGAGAGAGCACAAGCAGGGGAAGAGGGTAAAGCTAGTTCCCCGTGGAGCAGGGAGCCTAATGCGGGGCTCGATCCCAGGACCCTGGAATCATGACCGGAGCCGAAGGCAGATGCTGATTGAGCCACCCAGGTGCCCCTAATTTTAGCTATTTTAGAAGATTAAAAAATATGTTTTAGTTTAAAAAGACATTTAAAAAGACTAATAGCATTTGTTAGAATTATTGGTCATATTTCCCTCTTCATTTTCCAAACACTGATAATGTAGTTACTTTAACTTTTTAAAAAATGTACATTTTAAAAGTCTTACTTACATGGAATCACTTTGCTTTTCTCTTCACTATCCTTAGTTCCCCAAAGCCTTCTGAAAACCCCACCATCAGGTTTCCGTGGCCTGGGTTCCTTCTCTCCTCCCGTTGCTAAAGTCAAGGCTAAGCTCTGGCCATGCTGA